GGATGAGACAGTTTCCTGGCCCGTGTTGGTGAGAGCAGGACTCAGAGACACGCTGGAGCAGCCAAGCCTGTCTAAGTGCCCCTCCAGCCCCACGGCTCCTCACCTCCCCACCCTGCTGGCTCCCCGCAGCCACAGGCACAACCAGCTCCAAGCAGGGTTTGGCCCAGGGCTGTGGGCAACGCGGTATGAACAGAGATGGCAATGGGAGAGGATGCTCGGGACCTCCTGGGGGCCGCAGCACCGGCACTCCCCGCCGGCAAGTGCACGGCAGGCTGGTGGGAGAGCTCTCCCCACCCACGTGCCAGGACCCCACCATCACCTCCGTGGTTGCTTCAGGGCCTCGCTGGCAGGACTGATGCGCACCACCACCCCACCACAGCCAAAAGTGGCACCACGGCACACGCTCCAGGCTCCGTATTTGATTGCAACATTGCAGCAACACATTTTCCACTACTTCTTGCTTGAGCGTTCCTGCTCCACCTTTCCTTGCCTTTCCTTTCCAGTCCCATCACATCACCTCTCCCCATCCCTGTGTCTCTGCCAGGGACAGGGAAGGAGGATGGGAAAACAAGGAGCTCTGCCTGAGACCTGAGACGTGAGTGCAGAGCTCTGCAAACCAGACACCGAACGGAGGCACTCGGGACCAGCCAGGCTTGCAGAGAGCTGCCTGCCAGCCCCCGGCCTCCGGTACCCGCGGCCCCGGGAGCAGCACCGCTCCCCGCAGGCTGGCAGCGCAGGGAGAGCAGGGCACCCAGGCCGGCCAGCACAAACCCCTGGCACAACCCCTGCGGGCGCATCCGCCTGGATCCCCGTGTCCCACAGCAGCTGAGCCCCAGCTCCCCGCAAGGCAGGCAACTGCCCACAAACACGCACACGAGATGCCGACACCGCACCGTGCGGGAGCCCCAGCAGCTCCAGCAAAGCACGCGCTTCACAGTGAGCGAGAGCAAGGGGGCCGAGACCTCACACCGTCCCGTCCCGCCCTCCCACAGATAATTTTCTATAGCTCGCGCTATTTTCCTGAGGGAAAAGCTAATGCTAATCAGCCCGTCCTTCAGCTTCCCACAGAGGCATCTCCCCCCGGCAGGGCCCTGTTCAGGGAGCAGGGAACTGGTGCATCCTTAGTTACCATTCTGCAAGGTCTCAGCCGCCCTGAGACATCGGAGCAGGCAGTTACCCAAGGAGCCCAGCCAGCCTTCGCGCTGGCAAGGCAGGGGCCATGCTGACGCCGACGTGCCGACTGCTATGCTCGAAGAGCCGCTTCCTTTGTTAGGGACGGCTGTAACTGAAATAAAGCCCTCCTGCCTCTCCTGCCCGGGCACCGGTGGGCCACCGTCTCCCAACAGCCAGTGCCCGGAGCTAAGGACAGCAGTTATTTATTAATTGCAGAGCGGCTTCTGCAGCTTGAATTTCTGCAGAGCTGACCCACCGGCGTGGTGCTCTGCAGGGAGAGCACCCCGCACCTCACTGCACCCCTCTTCTCCGGTACGCTTGGGACATCAGTGTGACAGCAGGGTCAGGCATCTGCCGCAGGCCCCTCTGAGCACGCCAGGCTTGGACCCTCCTTGCTTCCCAGCTGGATGTGTCCCTGGCCTTAGTCCCCCCCAGCACCCCACCGGCAAACCATCCCCAGAGAGCAGCTTTGCTGCTCTGGCTGCAGACACAGCCGGAACAAGCCCCGGGGCTACCGGGTAATTCCCACGTGCTTTTAGGATGCCCCTTCCCAAACAAACAGCGCAGCAGCCTCCCGCCAGCCCTCAGACACCCCAGCACATGCAGAGAGCTCCCTGAAAGCCGCCCGCCGGCGGGCCCCGCTGCACGTGTGCTTGCCGCATCCCTGTGGCTTTCGCCTGCCTCCCGCTTGGAACGGGAAAACAGGAAACCCCCCGCCGCCGCGATCCCCCGCAGTTCCTTGGGAAGAGAGGACGGGAGGCAGAAAGGCTTGGCCAGGGCTCCCGGCGACCCTGCAAAACTCATTTAAGGCTAGCCATGCAAAAGGGCGCTGGGGAAATGTGCGGCTGTTTGGCTTCGGGCGATTTCGGGTCCCTCCGGCGCTTCCTGCCAGAAGAGATAACCCAAACCCAACCCCAACCCGACGCCACCTGCCAGCGTGGGATGGGAACCGGCCCCGGCAGCCACCGGCAGCGCTGCTCCTCTGGTTAAACATTCACCTCATCCCTCCAACCTCCCCAAAGCAGGAAAGTTAGCCCCAGCTGCTCCTGGAAACAATGTCACAGACCTCAGCCTGCCTTTAAAAAAAAAAAAAAGAAAAAAAAGCCAGAAAACTATTTTTATATTTCCCTGTGCTTTTTAAAGGAAAAAAGCTCATTCTGTAGCTCAGGAAACGCCCACATCCTCCTGACTGCGCAGGGAGGAGCCCACTGGATTTTTCCAGGGAGCATGAAGCAACAGGCAGGCTGGAAATGAGTTTTCCATCGGTACCCATGATTGTTGGTGTTGGTCAGCCGCTCAGACACTGTGCGGGGCCGGGAACGGGACGCGGTGGCATTTCTCACACATGACCCACGGCTGCAATCCCAGGCATTCGAGAAGTTATAGTTGCCAGCGTTCATTCAGTACATGCAAGGAGCGCTCCCAACAAGCGGGGCTTTATGAATCACCTCCCTGTTAAGCTTCGGGCCAGCCAAGGAATTCACAAGCGTTACCAAACCCCGGGCGCAGCGCTCCCATCGCCTTCCCACCGAACCACGCGGTCCATCGGGAGGAAACCCCAGGAGCCGTGTCCCGGAAAGACGGCTCAGAGGTTGCATCCAGTTTCTATGCATTAAATAAACAGACCCGGGTTTATTCTGCTGGAGCCTGGGCGGCTCCTCAAGGAAAAGCTCAAGGCATCAGCAAGGACACGCTCCAGCCTATCGCAGCTCCAAGCACAGGGAAGTTTTTGGCTCGCTCCCGTTTTGAATTACCCCCTGGTCTCTCTTAGGGGCAGCGGGGGCCGCGCCGTCCCTGCAGGGAAGTGTGTGATGGGGGCTGCCGGGCACCTGCCTACTCCCTGCCTGCAGGAGAAGGCATGCCCCGGGGAGGCAGGAATGGGGAAGCCAAAGAGCAGCAGAAACCTGGACATGGACCACTACACCTACAGAAACCCACCCGGGGAGAGAGACGGCACGCAGCTGGGGGCATGGGGTACAGCACTGTTCCCCCCCCCCAAACACATCCCCAAGAGACCCACAAGTCCCCCAGCACATGGGGACAGACAAAGAGCACGGGCACTGCTGGGGGCTGGTGCTTCACCTCCTGGCACAGCCTGGCCTCCTCCAGCAGCGAGGTGGGGGTCCCTGAGCCCGGCCCCAGCCCCCCCCACGCAGGCCAGGCTCGTCCCCAGAGCGAGAAGAGCGACGCTGACCCCGGGCCAGTGCCCAGCTGGCTGGACAGACATGCTATTTTCTGCTTAAAAAGGAAAAGATTCACACAAGGAAAGACATCCAAGGGGCCGAGCCCTTCCCACCCCCACGCAAATAGGTTTATTTAAGGGAGGAAGACAGCAAATTCCTATTTCTCTGTGTTTACTTGGAGATGGCCGGAAAGGAATGAAAGCACCATTGCCTCAAACGCTCAGGCACCATCATGACCCTTTGGTATTTCTCCACCAAACAAACATGCTGAAGCAGCAGGGGCTGGACTCTGGAGCACCGGAGGGAGACGGGCAGGGAGGGGTGCAGGCGGGCAGCACCGGGCCAGGCCAGCTGGACCCCGTGGGCCAGCAGGTCCCAGGAGGCAGCTCGGGCTGGAGTGCTGGATCCATCCCCAGAGCCACCCTGAGCCTTCAGTGCAGCCCTGAGGATGCCCACCCCGGGGATGCCCACCCCGGGGATGCCCACCCCGGGGATGCCCACCCCGGGGCCAGGGGGGTCAGGTCACTCCCCGGGAGGGTCCCGGCTGGGCATCGCCGCGCAGGGGGGAAGCGGGCTGGGACAGGCTCATCGGGGAGCGGCGGCGAGGCACCAAAGCAGGGGATCTGCCCTCGCTCCCACCTCCGCCCTCGGCATTTTCTGCAACCTGGGCGGCGGCGCTCAGCCCGGGATGCCCGACGGGAGACACCCCAGCCCCGGTTCCCAGAGATCCTGACCAGCCACAACCCCAAGCAGGGCCCTCGGAGACCTGCAGGGACTCGCTGCTGCCAAAACCCAGCCCGGGCACGCCGAGATGGACCTTTGAGCCCAGAAGCTGCCTTTGAAAAAGTCCCATAGAAACCCCAAACCATTCATTAGCTCTCCCGCCTAGGAAGAGCCCGCAGAGGGCTGGGTGAGAGGCGAGATGGGGAGGGGTGAACAGCACACCTGGAGTGAGGTTTGCAGGGAATGGGAACAAATTGGCCAGGAGAAGGTTTTGTTTCCACCTGCCACCGCCTGCTCCTCAGCACCATGAGACCCCCACCGCTCACAGGAGCCCCCTGCCCAGCACCCCATCCATGTCAGATGGCCTGGGTTCCCCTATGACCCAAGCCAGCGGCTACACGGGGACGTGAACCCCCCACCCCCCAGCACCAAAACAGGCTGCGGGCACACACCCCAACCGAGGCTCCTCTCCCCCTGTTTCACCTCCTCAGCCCAGGCAGCAGCGGAAGGTGCCCCGACCCCCCCCCGCCCCCCAGCCAGCAGCATCCCCCAGCACAGCCCGGGGATGGGGGTCCGGGGGGGCGGGGCAGAGGGCCCGCGGCCGCTGCGAGGGGGGTCCCGGGGGGAGAAGAAGCTGCTGCCGGGCAGGGCGCTGGGGTGAGCCCCGCTGGGGAACCGCGGTCGAGCCGGGGCGGGGGGACCCGGGGATGCGCCGGGCTTGGGGACGGCGAAGCCGGGGACACACCCCGGCTCCGGGAAGGAGAAAAGGACCCGGGGATGCAGCGGGGTTTGGGGAAGGGGGAAGCAGGGATGAGCGCCGGCTCCGGGACGGAGAACCGGGGACAGAGCGGGGGGTCCCGGGGATGCGCGCCCGGCTCGGGGAAGGGGGAATGCGGGGCCGGGCCCCGGGGATGCGCTCACCGAAGTACACGGTCTTGTCGCACTTGGGGCATTTGGATGCCATGGCGGGAGAGCGGAGCCCAGCCGTGCCGTCCCGTGCCGAGCCGCGCCGTGCCGTGCGTCCCG